CCCACCCACAGAACTTCTGACTCAGCAGGTGTGGATGAGGACCAGATTTTTGCATTTCTATCAAGTTACCAGGTGATGTGGGTGTTGATCAGAGACCAACTTTGGGAAACAGCTTTAGGAAACTGTACGTAGAGATACTAACCGTGCCTCTGATCTCAGGGAAAGCTGGCAAATGCCCTATTCTTTGACTGCCAACTCGTCATGCCTTCTCAGGAATCTTACATTATTGTCAGTTTTGTATACCGGCATACCTCGTTTTATGGTGTTCCATTTTATTGCATTTCACCAGGTGTTGCATTTTTCATAAGGCAAGACCCTCCACCAGCAAAAAGATTAGGACTTGCTTTATTGTGATACTCGCTTTATTGCGGAGGCCTAGAACCGAACCTACAATATCTCCAAGGTATGCTTGTATTTAACAGCTTTGATATGGAAAAAAGTTTTCTCATAGATCATTCGCTAGTTAATGAAGATGAAAAATGAGACAGTATCAGAAGAGGCAAGCGAGCAAGTACAAGGATCCTGCTCAGTGCCCACCACTGGTACAGAAGTTAAACCTGGATATTAATTCCGTAACAACAACAACAACAAAAAAGTTCAGTGCTATTTGGGCTCTTGAACAGGATGGAGAGTTGAAACGCCATGTTTTGTGAATGCTTCAATTCCTGAGCACTTTTGGAGTGGCCTTTGCCTTCCCAAATTTACATTTTCATTCTGATTATAGTTGATAAGAATGAATCCAACCTGAAGGATTCCAAACGCTGAGTTATGCTGACAACCTTTTCTCAGAAATACCTTATGCCTCATCTTCACCACTTCTAACTTTATTTTTGTTGTTGACACTGTTACAGATGTTCCCATTCTCCCCCCTTTGCCCACCTCCACTTCATCCTCAATTTTTATTATCACAAAGAATATCTTCATTCAGTCACATAAGAAAGTTCCTTTTCTGGGCAAAGCACTCTGTTAGATGTTGAGGAAGAGAAAAAAATATATTAATTATGGCCCTGGCTGGGTGGCTCATTGGTTGGAACATCATCCTATACACCAAAAAGCTGTGAGTCGATCCCCAGTCAGGGCACATACCTAAATTGCAGGTTCAATCCCCAGTCCGGGCACGTATGAAAGGCAACCGATTGATGTTTCTCTCTCACATTGATATGTGTGTCTCTCTCTTTGTCTCTCCCCTGCTCCTCTCTCTCTAAAATCAATAAACATATCCTCGGATGAGGACTTAAAAAGTAGTAGTTTTTATCTTTATTCAAAGCAGCATACAAAATAATAATAATGCTGATACATGGAAAGTTAGCAAAAAAAATAGAGAAGGGGAAAGCAAATTAAAAAATTCACTTAGGTTTTGTAAAGAAGTTAGAACAAAATACACTTGAAGGCTCTGAAGGACTGTAGGTACTCAGGGTAGGCCCTAAAATGCGTTTTATATCTTCTTGCTGCTATTAGAGAGAAAGTATAACCCTTAAATCTTCACTGGCTACAAAGTAAAAACAAACTGTTAAGTTAGGAAAAGTCTATTCCTGAAAGAAATGCATCCCCTGGGTCTTCAATGTGCAGTGTAAAGAACTGTGTAGATGTAAACACTAATTCGTTTTCATGTTCCCTCCATATAGGCAGATGGCATGATGCCACGCCTGACTCAGTAACCTTGCTACACTTAAGTGACAGCTCTTAAAGGCAGAGCAGCTATAAATCCAGGTTTATTCACCCTGGCAAATGCCTGGAGTGTAGCTCTTCCAGAAAGCCCGTTAAACACAAAGGCCCATGCTGAAGAAGTTCACAGACTCTTGTGACCTCTAGGGAACCTAAGAAAGATGCTCCACTTCCTTAAGAAGAGAGACAAAAGAGGACGCTGGGGAGGATGCTGGGCTTTGAAAGGATATAAATGTCCTTGTGAAATAAGCTGGGCTCATGATTCAAAATGAGGAAACACGTGAATTTATCACACGGCCTCCCAAAACCTCACTGAAATGACTGGATCGAGATTAAAACTGTAACCGCACTAAAACCAAGGCAGGGAACCCTCATGAGATAGACAATCTGAGACATTTGGGGAACACAGGAAGCACGGAGCTTCAGATAAGCAGAGGTTCCACAGTAGAATTAACCCCAACCCAGCCGTTAACAGGAATCCTGGAGCATTTAATCCTTATCTTGCTAATGAAGGAAAGGAATTCTGCCTCCACTACTAGCGGACTGCCACGTCCAGGGCTGGGTCTCCCTGCAGTGGCTTCTGCTTTCAAGATCACACTTGGAGGTACTTTCTAAACCGCAAGGACAAGGGACCTGGAGCAGCGGAGAATGGAGAGTGCCTTCTGAACCAGGAGGCTTTTCAGCAAAGAACGATGGCAGCGGCTAGTCTTCTAATCTTCTGTGAAAACATTGGAAGGTTCTTTGTTGAGAAAAGAGATTTCCCCGAAACAAAACACTGACATCCGGCAAAAGAGTAAAGTCTCCCAATAAAATCTCTGTGCCTTACTGCCACAAAATGAAGTTCACTGATCAGTAAACCCTGAAATGTGCAATGAACAGTAAATGAGCCTTTTAGTGCCTTACTCTTGCATATGAACATATGGCCAGAAATATTAATATATGTGAGGACAGAAGCTAATATTACTGAGATGAAAATAAGCAAACCAATAAAAGTAACTCAGAGAAGACAAAAACAGTGCAGAAAGCAAACCGAAACTTCCAAATTATAATTAATATCTTTAAAGATATGAAAAGGTATAGCATTCATAGTTTGTGTTTTGTTTTCTCTTTAATCCAAAACAGTTGGATTTTTTGTTGGTTTTCAATTAGAAACAGGATGCATTTTGTTGTTTTTGGCCTGTATATTTAATTTTAGGAATTTACTGAAACTTTTGTGGCCTTATAAGTGGTTAATATTTTTAAATGTTCCACAAGAGTTGAAAGGTGATATATTTTTATTTGTTGGAGTCAAATTTTCATACACATATTTTTAAGCTTATTAACTGACATGTCCAAATCTTCCAAATCCTCATGTTGCTTTGTCCTGTTGGCTCTGCCAGTTCCTGAGAAAGGTGTTAGGAAGTTACTCACTACAGTTGTGACTTTGCCAATGATTTGTTGTTGGGTTTAGTTCAAGGACAGTGAGCTTGTAAAAAATAACAAAATAATCCCAGTGGAAGTAGACGGAAAGCATTACTAGATGAAAACAGAAATAAATGAAACAAAAATGGGGAAAGCCACTTACCAGGGCTATCGATTCAGAAGGCAGGAGATGGTTCCAAGGTTGAAGTTCCCAACAGAACTAGACACGGAGGCTGGCCACGGTGTCACGGGTCCCCAGCGCCCACTACGATAAGAAGTGCTCCATTCTCAGGTTACTAGCCCTGGGAATGGCTTCTCCCAGAGACAGAAGCTGGAGTCTGGGCACCTTGGGACTGAGGGACCCATCAGTTTGGAAGGCCTTGGCGGGGTGGGGGGGGGGTCATCCATCAGACACCAGCCTGTTAGTGTGAACGTGCTGGGGGAGCCAGGCCCCACTTCCCTGTTGGGTGGGAGATCTTCAACCTTATAATACTAATTTATAGCCCTTAAAATCTGTGGCCTCCTGGGATGTCTTCTTCCTTTACTAACAGGATTAATCACTCTAGCAATTTACTCACTCTCATGCCAATGAACATTTGGTAACTCAAACATCCATCAGCAGGAGAGTCATTAAACTAGAAGTAAATTTGCCCTTTGTGTATTGATATGAAAATATCTCCATGATTAATTATTAAAGGCAAAAACCAAAATGCATAACATTTACTATTGGATACTACCATTCGTGGAGAGGGAAAAAAAGGGGCAAAAGTGTATGTAGGTATTTGTTGATACATGCAAAGAATGGCTCCAATATCTCCCGGAGGAAGCACAAGAAGCCAGGAACTGCTGACTCTGTGGAGGGGAGGGGGGGGTGAAGGGTGGGGACAGAACTGGGGGTAGGAGATGCAATTTGTACAGTTTGCATTTAGAACCACAGAACTACTACCTATTTGACCTGTGCATCATAGGACCTAAACAAATATATTTCAAAATTTTATATTCTATATATGTATGTTTACGATATATAGGTATGTGAATATTTATATTTACATGTGATTAATTATATATATATTTATGTGTGTATATATAGATATTATTTAAATGGACAAAATGAAGTGTGGCACATCTATGTTCTTCACGCCCCTGAAGCATCCTTCCCACAATTAACCACACACCACCCTCCTCCCTAGGACTCTGCCTATAGCAATAACTTTGCTTTGTTGTTCCACCTATTTATGCATCCTTTGGTTGATTCTTCTACATGCCTTGTCTGGGGATCAAACCCACAACCTTGGCACATAGGACAATGCTCTAAGCAACTGAACTACCAGCCAGGGCTTTTCTTCCTTGTTTTGAGGGGAAAATGGTATAAGTCCATCATGTTATCTGAGGGAGCACCAGAATCCTCTATCCATTAGCCACCTCCCTCTGCAGGGACCTAGTCTAGTCTTTCAACACCAGCAAGGTTGTGAGGAGTCTTCCTGAAGAAATGTCCCACTCCTGAGTCTTACCTTTGCCAATGCAAAGAATCTGCAGATTATTCAAACCTAGATTTCTTTCTTACAAATCTCAGGCCAAATGATTAGGCCAGCCTCCCTAAAGGTCTTAACAGAGGAAGGGAGAGACATGCTCTCCTTTTCCAAAAGCCAGCTTCCTCTGTCCTGATGCATAATTCACACTGAAAAGAACATCCTTACACAGTACATCCATCTTAGCAAGCACCTCTGATTTTTTTTTTGTCTGGGGATAAGTTCATATGTGATACAGTGGTATCAAAGGTTTACTATTAGCTTGGTGATTTTTTAAAAAAAATATTTTTAAGTGTAGAAAGACATCACCCATATAGAGATTAGATAGTCACCTATTTTTCTACTTTTATTGTTTCAGTTTTTACATTGGCTTGTTTGGTCCACCAGGAATTTCTTTCGGTAAACACTGGGCAATTAGGTTATAACTTGATTACTTCTGAGAATGTTGAACCAGCTACCCCAGCACTAAAATTCTTCCTCAACTCGGGAATGTGTGACGCCTCCTTCATTATAGATGAAATTCTTTCATAGGCACATGAAGGTCTGTCTCCAGCTTATTAATTTTCTGTGGAGCTATTTTTGAACAAGTTGGAGATGGTTCTTAATAATTGGGGGTTTAAATTTTTATAATATGAAAGAAAAATTGTCTGCAGAGAAGGAAGGGGCATAGGTGGCAATGAAAACTAAAAGAGAGGAGAAATGGTTGAGACAAGGCGCTGCAGTGTGCGTGACTGGGAGTCAGTCAGCGTCGACGCCACGGAGCCCTGAGCTGCGTTAACAGTCTGGCTGTGGCTGGAGAACATCAAACTAAGAGAGAAAACTCCAGCATCATGACTCTGGAGTCAGCATCAGTCTCGGAGCAGGAGCAGAGGAATCAAATTACCCATCTGTCCATTCACAAACATACAGTGAGGGCCTACTGTGTGTCAGTAACTACATGAGCTGCTGAGTCTAAGGCGGTGGAGAAAAAGATAGGGCTCTGCCTCCTAGAATCTACTGGAAGGAGGGAAATAGCGCCCCTGGAGGAGGACGGGTAGTTGGTGGGGGTCATGCATCTTGCTTTCTTTTGTTATTAAGGTAGGCTTTGGGCATGATTGTAAACTGCTGGCAGCTCAGAACATGAATCTGCTTCTTGTATTCGGGTTATTGCTCCTTGTGGTAGGTTGAGTTGCCTAGAAATAGAAGGAAATAGAGGAAAACCTGAGTAAGAAATCAAGAGCATGTACTATATTCGCCATATGAGACTTGACCCTAGTCTTAACCCTGACCTAACAACAGCAGTGGATGTAGCCTCAGCTCTAGCCCTATGGCTGTCCTTGTTCTAAGGTTAACAATATCCGGAAGCCTAGCCCAAGCCATGAGCCTACATCTAACTCTGTTGAGACCCCAGGACACTCCTCTAGTGAAAGAGCAAATACTGCCTGCACCTGGGACCTGCTACTGTCAGGGACTGAAAGAAGCATGAGTGACAATTTAAATTGCCAGTTGCTCTCCCCAGATGGTCTCCTTACTGAAGTAACTCAACCCTCCTAGGATCTGATGTGTAACTAATGATTTGGCAAATGCGTTTTTGTCTGTCCAGGTGTATAGCGAACACAAAAAGCAGTTTCTTTTCACCTGTTAGAGTGAGTAGTACACCTTTAAATTCTTCTTCATGTCTCTGTGCCACAGGTTAGCCCATAGTGACATTGACCGTGTCATCATCCTGTAGAACATCACACAGGGCCACAATGTTGAGGCCATCACGCTATTGGAATCAGGAAAGGTGGAAGTAGCAGACCCTCTAGTTTCTCTGGTAATATACATTATTGACCCTCTGAGGGCAGGAGATAGAACCTAAGAAAATTCAGAGGCCTCTTATCTGGTTAAATTTTCTGACGGCCCTGAGGTCCATTCTTCAAAGCAAAGAGGTTTCCATACCTTGTATCCCTACCACCAAGAAAGATGCGTAATGTCTGCTGGACCTCTGTGGATTTCTGAAGCAAAATATACCATATTCAAACATGTGACTCCGAGTTTACTAAATAATGTGAAAAGGATGCCACGTTTGAGTGGGTCCCTGCACAAGAGAGGTTCTCCGGCCCATCCAGGCTAATGAGCAAATGGCTCTGTGATGGGATCCCCATACTCCCGTGGATGCAATGGCACCAAATCTGCATGGATCGCGTGGCCAGCCGTGACAGCGCTATCACAGGAGTGCTGCTCATGAATCTGAAATGGAACGTCTTCTCTTCATCAAGTGAACCCCCTTTGCGGAACAGTTCTTGCCTTGTCGGAGGGTGCTGGTAGATAGCACTGGACATCAGGTACCCTTGTGATATGAGCTCTTATCATGAATTGAGTTATATGACCCACAAAGCCATAAAGATGGGTGTGCTCAATGTTACTACATCATTAATTGCAGGTCCTGAACGTACTCCTAAGTTTGCCTGAGCAAACTGGTTGTACTCCCAGCGTGCCTACTCTTGATCCATGTAAACCTCATCCTATCTCACAGCTTTTTCCTCTTGGGGAGTTAGTTCCCTTTGACCAGTTGACTGAGGAAGAAAAATTCAAGCCTGCCTTGCAATTTTCTCTGCAGGGTTGCTTGGAACCGAGCAGAAGTGGGCTGCTTTGGCACAAGAGGCGTCAAAGGCAGAGAGGGGGCTGTTGAAGACTGAAGGTAAGAAAATCCTCCCAGTGGGGGGAACTTTTAAATAGCAGATCCCACTCCTCTGGATAGAGAGAAGGCCTAAAGGAAAGAGTAAAAGATCCGCAGGCAGTGACTAATGGCCACAAGAAGTGCAAGCTCCTAAGTCACCATCCCTCTCGTGCATCTTGTCCTGAGACGCTCACTGCAGCATCTCTGGCACGCCTTGCCCTGTGCCCCTGCCCGGGCCTTCCGCATCCCCTCTGGACTGACGGCCTGTCTTCAGCCAAATCCCTCGGCTGTTCCCTGAAGACACTGTTTCTCCTACAACCCTCTCAAAGCATGGCCACCCTTTTCTCACCTCAAGTGATTTTTCCACTGCCCACCACTCCCTTCCTGTTTTCACTTTCCCAGTCACGGCAGTTACTCTCCTGTGAACACTCTAAATCGCCCCGCCCTGCTCTTTCTTCATTAAACTTATCTGGAGGAAAAACAAAACAAAACCCAAAACCTTAGTTAAGCGCACCTTTTTTCTTCTCATCAATATAGGAGCAGTTGTGGCTGGAGAAAAACATACAATCATGCCGATCTAGCCCTACTATAAATTCATAATCCACAGATCTCAAACGGGCTCTCGGGCCTCGGGGAAACCCCGCATTTCCTTAGATAATTCTCTTTTTCCCATTGAGCCCTTTCCCAGCTTCTCCCTCCTCTCGCCTCTGATAGTCTCCTCACTTTCAGCAGAACCGCTAAATTAACCCATTCACAGCTCTCTGAGCCCACGGACTCTGTCTCCCCTCTCACACGACGATGGGGGCGCTGCTTGTGTGGAAGGGCAGCGCCCTCCCACTCGTTCCCTGGATCCACGCTCGCACCTGCGGGAGGCCTTTGCTCCTCCAAGCCTCCCTGTCTCCTTCCCCCATCGTCCATGCGCTTCTCTAGCATCAACCTGCTATATTCTAAACGTTTCCTCTTGCGAGAGGCAATTCCATAAACATAAATGAGAAAATTTGATGACATTGGTTTTTTTTTTAGCAAAATTCAAATCAATAATATCACCCCAAAGAGAGAGAAGAAATAATAATAAAAACAATAACTAAAAAAGAAATGGACAATTTTGCAAAAGATCTCAAGTTCCCCAAAAAGCCAAGTCAAGGCTGGGTTTGTTAACGCAACTTCAAATAATAATGTGTACGTTTGAGGGGACTTGTCATTGAAAGAGTTCTGATCTTTTAGAGCTTTACAATGGACAATTAATGAGTGAAGTTAAATGTCTGGGATCAGGATTTGCTTCAAAATACTTCAAGGGATGAGGGAATTGAGTGGGAATATAGATAGAAGGGCTCAGAACTGATAACTGTTGAAGAAGCTGTTGATAAATGCATGAAGCTCCTTATATGATTCTATTTTTAAGTTCGAAATATAACTGTTAAAAAAGACTGCTGGATGTATTGGTGAGAGCCATGAATCTTAGAGTATCAAAGGATGAGACAAGGTTCCTAGACCTACACTATCTGGATCATGTCTTTGAAAAGAGGAAGAACTGAGAAGAACTTAGAAAAGAATGGAACATTTAGAGAATCTTTTCAGAAATTGTTTTCTCTGGATTGTCCCAGGATTTTGCCTAAAAACTCATGCTACAGTGGGCACTATATAAATAAAACTTTACCGTTCTGGTAAAGCTCTATCTGTTTGATTATGCAGGACCTCCAAGACCCTAGATGACAAAAGGAAGTGAAAGTAGTGTCCTACTGGCCATACAACTGCATTTCCATAGTTACTTTGTTCTGTTTCTCAATACTCAGTTCTGCACAATTGCTGCATTTGTCTATTTCTAGGACAAAAATAATCCCTAATTACCATCACTTTATGTTATATTTTGCTTCCTGGGCAGGATTAATACCCCCTGATTATTTTTTTAATATTGTCTTGGATAAACTTATGTATTTATTATTCTATATGAATTTTAGGATACATTGTCATTTGCTTAAAATAAAATTTCTTTGACACTGTATTGGAATTACCTTCACCAATGAATTTAAAGATGACAGCATATCATATCGAGTCTTTCTAGCCAGTGAGCTTGGCTGATGTGTCATTATTCCCCTCAGGTCTTGGTCAGCCCTAATGGGACAGGAGAGCCTTACATGAGCTGTGCATGGGCAGCCAGCTGGGGGACCTCCAAGTGGCACTGGCTAGAGAAATCTGCAGACACAAGAGGCCTGCAATGAGCCATGGAGAGCCCCGGCGCAGAAGTGACCAGAACAACGGCATGGCTTTTTAGAAAATGCATGCATTGTTCGTTGCCCTCGGATTCACTGGGAAAAGGGCAGAACTCCCTGCCTCCAGGCCGGCTATAGACTTGGGCTGTGAGCGGATGGAGAAGTCTGCAAGTCTCAGGGACGTGGCAGACACTGACTGCTGTTCTACTGATAGCGTCGCCTCTGCTTCCTTTCTGCTGTTTCTTCTCTTCATTTATTGTGTGCACCCTTTGGTTATGTTTTTGCCCTCCCCATTATTTTAAGCTTTTTAAAGATCATGTACTTTCAAGTGTATCTTCAATAAGCACCAGAAAGACGTTTTTTTTCCTCCCAGGCTGAGTCTTCTTCTTCTAAAGGAGGATTTAACTTGTTAATGGTTCCCATATCCCTCTATTACGTGTTGGCCTTATTCTGGCCATATTTTACTTTTTGACTTTATTATGCTTTATTGTACTTTTTGACTTTATTATGCTTTATTGTTGTTCCCCTCTGTTGATGTGGTATCTTTCGTTTGCAGATCATGCTGCTGCTACATCTCCTATTTAATTGGTCCATGTGGGGTGGGTTTGGGAGAAATTCCCCCCACAGTATTCCCTTAGCTAACTAGGCTTCAGCTTTGCCACCTTCTTATACCCCACATGGAGGCTGAGGTTGTTGGCTTCTTTATTCCTAAGGTCTGGTCACAGACACAAGAGTATATTTATATTGGATCAACTGCTTTATATTGCTAAATGGGATAAATTTAGTAACCCTGAGAGGAAATGTTCAATTTGCTGATGTTAAGCAGTGTAAGACTGTTACTTTTGTTTTCTTCTCCCAGTCCTCGCAGCACAGAAATGTTGGACCCTCCTCACTTCACCTCATATCCTGGTGGGACGCAATCCCAGAGTGTCTAAAGAAGTTTCCTTAGAATATTTGCTCTTGGCTTTGCTTGAACAGTTTCCAACAGAGTCTATGCTAAGCACAAGCTGACCAATATGCATTGTAGCCATGGCAGGACCGGTGTCTCAACTTGGGTTCCCCCAAAAGAAGCACCAGAGATATGCAAGCAATTTGTTTGATGATCCCCAGACACATTGGCAGGACAGCAGAGAAGCGAAACAAGGAAAGAAAGACAGCCAATGAAGCGTGTTTTATCTGAAAAAAAAAAAAAAAAAAACTGGAACTTACTCACAAGGAGGAAGTCCAGGGGCTAGCATAAAACATACATTGCCCTAAGGAATACGGAACAGGAACTTCTGGCATATGGTCTTCATTCCCCTGAAACGTCCAGGCCTCTGTGCTGAGCAGAGCAGCTTCCAGTGATGAGAGGTGGCAGGTGGCAAAAGGTGCACGTGCTGGCAGCTGGCACTGGCCACACTAAACCAAAAGGCCACAGAGATATGGTGGGGCCCCAGCAGTGTCCCTTACAATAGATTTCACTCTATTCCTTAAAAAAAAAAAAAAGATTTTGTTTATTTTTAGAGTTAGGGGAAGGGAGGGAGAAAGAGGAGAGAAACATCAATGTGTGGTTGCTTCTCATGCACCCCTTACTGGGGACCTGGCCCGCAACCCAGGCATGTGACCTGACTGGGAATCGAACCAGTGACCGTTTGGTTCACAGGCTGGCACTCAGCCCACTGAACCATACCAGCCAGGGGATCTTACTCAATTCTTATTAACAAGATTTATTTCAGAAGTCGTCGAATGGTATGATGCTATGACGATGCCTGTACCTTGCCTGACCATGTGTGCTGGCATCTTTTCTCGGTAACAGACCCTCATCCCTAGTCCTTACAGTCACATGTTCCAGCAGGGCCAAACATATAACCTCATGCTTCCTAGTGAGAAATAAAGTGAAGTAAAAGCATAAGGTTATTATTTGAACCAATAAAGCCATTTTTCTTATATTTTCAAAGTACAAAATAAACTGAATAAAAAATGTTTTGTGTGTGTACCCATTTTTCAAATCCGCTGTAGAAGATGATACTAGCTGAGCACCAAAATCTATGCTTCTCTTCTTCCTGATGGCTCATCTAGGCTATGTTTCCCAGACTTCGTTGCAGTTACGTGTGGCCATGTGACTAACATCTTTAGCCAATGAAATCTGAGCCAAGTGATGTTGGCACTCCTGGAGGGCCTGGCTCATGAAACCTCTCAGACATGCCCTTCCATGCTCTTTACCCCGGTCCCTGAGACGGTCATTGCTCATGGGTGACCTGAGGTGGCAGAGAGCTACAATGACCCCACGTCCTTTAATGAGGGTATAGAACAGAGCTCTGCCAGTCTGGGGTCACCCCAGGCTGTAGCTTGAGCAAGAAATAACCCATTGTGTTGACCCATTACATTTTAGGTTTACTTATTACACTTCAGTCCAATCTAACAGGCGAACCTGACACCCACCCTTGGACCTCCATGGACCCTGGATAAAGAATACTTGCTCAGGGAAATAAACAAAATATATATACACAACACTAAGAAACAGGCAGCTAGGAGAACATCGGCAACACATAAAATGTATCAATGTACAAGAAACTCAGAAGGTATATGAATTCGAAAAGATCTATATAGGAGCAACTAAGGGATTAAAATAACGAAGGTATTTTTCTATCAAGATAAATTGAGGATAAGACTCTAGTTTAGAGAGAGGATTAGATGAACTCAAAGTCCATTAGAGTCATCTACTGTATCCTGGAATCTAGAATTTGGAGATAACAAGTAGTTTGTGTAGCAAAATAATCCACTATGAACAAATATGCCCTAATCATGATATAATGAAGGACACTCATTATCCCAGGAATACTACTGTGTATCTTGAAAACAAATAGGATCTAGAAGGGTTTTGATAGATAGTTGCTTCATAATGGGTTGTGGAAGTGAAGACAAGGATGTTCAGAACATATACTCAAGATTTTTTTCAACTTTGATACAAAATACTGCTACATTCACCACCCCTAATTCAGGAATAAAATGTTAATCCGTGATGCCCACTCTGGGTCAGAGGATCTTTGGTTAGATTCCGAAAGACTGATCATTGAACAAATATTTATTGAGCAATTACTATGTTCTAGACACTGTGCTGAGAATACATCTGGGAATAAGACTGCCTCATGAACCACGAGAGGAGACAGAAAACAAACAGAAATAAATACATTTTATAATAAATTAAATGCCCTAAATAAGAGGAAAAAATAGAGCAGGGCAGGGGGAAGTGGGCTGTCAGGCAGAAAGAGTGGCAATTTTAGAGGAGATGGTCCATGGAGGGCTCATTGGGAAGTTAGGGGAAGGGCATTTAGGCAAAGGGAACAGTGCAAAGGTGCGGAGGTGAGAGTGCTCCTGGCTTGTTCAAGGAACAGCAAGAAAGGCATTGTGCCTATGGAGTGAAGCGCTGAGTTAGAGAAGAGGAAAATGAGGTCAGGGGGCAGACCATGTAGGTCCTATGGCCCACGGAGAGGACTTCTGTCTATATTCAGGGGGAACGGGGACCCATTGGAGCCGGGGTGTCCAACCCACGGCCCGGGGGCCGCATGTGGCCCAGGACGGCTATGACTGTGGCCGAACACAAAATCCTAAATTTACTTCAAACATTACTTAGTTTTATCACTCGGTTTCATTACTTAGATACGTACATTTTTTGTATTAGCGATCACAAACTTGGGACCTGCTCGACGATTTTAAAAGATTATAGAAAGGGCTGCTGCATAATTAGGGTTCTTACGGAAAGACTTTTTTTCTTATCTATGGTGGCAGATATCACAAATATTAAGCACGGGCCATTTTTTTGCTCATCGGTTTTCGTTAGTGTTTGTGTATTTAACGTGTGGCCCAGAGACGCCAAAAGGTTGGACAGCCCTGCACTAGACGGTTTGAAGAGAGAAGGGCCAGGGTGTGACTTGCATTTTTCAGGCACCTTGACTCCTGCGCTGATGATGGACTACGGGGAAGGTGGGGGAACAGGGGGCAGGCACGGATTGAGGGGGCTCTTGCAGGAGGCCAGGGGAGCCAATGGTGGTTTGGAGTACGACAGAAGCAGTGAACGCGGTGAGCTGCAGATTCTGGATGAGACTTTGAAGGTAGAACCAACATGACTTCCCGATGGGTGGGAAAAAAAGAGAAAAGTTAAAAATGATTACAAGGCTTATGGCCTGAGCATCTCAGATCTAGGAGACTGGAAGAGTAAGAAGGTCGGGAAAGCCCAGTAGTTCAGGTTGGGGTATAAGGTTGAGATGCCTATTAGACGTGCACGCGGCAGTGCCAAGTAGGAAGATTGTTTACATGGGTCTGGAGTTCGGGAGGGAAAGCCAAGGCTGGAAGCATGAATTTGGAGGTTATCCGTGCAGAGGTGGAGTCTGCAGCCTCAAGATTAATGCCAGATACAATAAAGAAGTTACTGGTATTAATCCATTTTCTTCTTCCAACGAATCCATGAGCGGTGGGTCAGCATTATAAACATAGGTCATGTGTGTCTTAATCCAAGAGTTCCTTTCCCACCTCATTTCTCACCTCTTCAATATGCCCATCTCCTAAGACTGAGATTGATTCTCTTTTACTTTGCAGGGGGGAAAAGGCAAAGTATTTAATCAGTGACATGGGCCTTGAAGCCTGGATTGAATGTTGATCTTATCAATAGTGTGTGACTCTAAATAAGTTCATTAGATTCTCTGACACTCCATTTCCTCATCTATAATGTGCCCATAATAATCGATATCCCGCAGAGCTGCTGTGAGGAGTCAATGAGCTGATGTTATGAAAGCACTTAGTACAGTGCTGGGTGCATACACATGTGTGTGCTCAGTACATGTTAGATTAAAACTCTGGCATAAGACATTTGATGACAATGTGGCTGGGGATACAACATGATTGGCCCTTGGCTCTCCTTCTGGAATGGTGGCCAGTTCAAGTTCTTTTCTTGGAAGATGTGCATGTGGGAGGGCGTTACTGGTGAGTGCCCCGCAGGTATTCAAGGTGCTCGTGGTTCAGTTTAAGCTGATGCTTTATTTGTCATCATTGGTCTATTTCCTACACACTTATTAAACAGAAAATTTTTTCTTCCACCACCCCCACACAGTAACAGCCTGAGGAATGCTGGTTTTAATTATCCATCGATTGTTCAGCCCTACATTCTACCAGTTGATTTTGCGGGGAGGCGCTCCTGTTACCGTGGGGTTTTAGCGTATTACTGAAATCTCACTGGTGGCCATGGTGGATGGAGGTGGAAGCTGTGGCCGCTCAGCCTCCCTGGCTGGCCTTGAACTTGGCTGGTCTTCCTCACACCCTCCAGTTACTGCCTTCTCCTGATTATTCAGATGAGTCCGTCTTCCACACAGCATCAGGAGGGGACTTTTAAAAATGGGCATTTGACCACATCACTCCCTTACCGACAGCTCTTTTCTCCAGCCACTGAGAGTCTTTCCTGTTGGACGCTGTCCTCTGTCCTTTAGGTATTTGGTTCCTGTTCCTCCTCTGGACCTCAACTTAAGTGTCACCTTCTTCGACAGGTCCTCCCTGACCAAGCAATCTTTCAGAAATCCTCCTGTTATTCTATGTCTAGTGCCTGCATCCTCCTCGTCATACCATTTGCTGCAAGTAAATTGAGTGTGTGCGTATCCTATCACCTGACTCCTTGCCTGGACTGAAGGTCCCTTCAGGGCTAGGACTGTATCTGTTTTGTTCCCTATGCTATCACCCTGGTCCATCCAATACCTGCCCCAACAGGCATATACACACAAATTGTTGAAACATGACTTATGCACCTACTTTTAAATAATTGCTTCTATTGTTGACCTGAACTCGTATTTCATTCTGTCTGTATCTATTGACTGGGCGCCTGCTATGAGTCAGGCACTGTTCCTGGTGCTCAGAATGCTGCAAAGAATAAAGCAGAGGAAGTCCCTGCCCACAGGCTGTCTTTTTTTGCTGGTGAGTCAGGCATGGTTTTCTGTGTGCATGTCCCTGCCACACTCTCGCAGGTTACTTTTGTGCTCGGCAGACACCTGACCAATGGGAGCTCGGAGCGGGTGGATCCGCGCTTTCTCCTTCCACCTTGCGTTCTTCACAGTTTCTCCAGGGCCCCAAGGGGTGAGCGCCTAGATCACACACCCTTGGATGGGCTTTCTCCTGCTTCCTGTTTCATTCTTTCTGGCTCTGATTCCTTCTCCGCCCCTTTTCCACAGAATCACTTCCCCTAAGAAACAACCTACCCTCGTGTCCCTCTCCAAAGCTGCTTTTGAGGAGAACCCAACCCCACAAAGCTAGCATTTTAATCCTTTTATCAGGTTATTTTCTACCTTTGCATCTTGGGTCCCCCACTCTATTTTGGGTTCCTAAAGGGTAGGGATCAGATTGTCTTCCTCCGCCCCGCTCCCACTTACTAATTCAAGGCCTGGCAGAGGTTAATAAACATTTGTTGATTTTGATTTAATTAGACAAAAAAAGAAAGAACACAGTGGCTGTCTGTGGCCCAAGGGAGGACAGAGCCACTTCTGGTACAGAGCCCTCTGCCTGACATTGGGTAAGGCCGAGACCTGTCAGAGCAATTCCTGTTTTCTCTTCTGTGCGCCCATCCTGATTCCCTCACGTCCCTTCACCCTTGACTTCCAGCAGCAGCAGGTCACCAGCCGCTGACGTAGCTCCGGGCCCGTAGCTGGTGGCTCACTCAGGAGCTCTGCCTGCCACCTGCTCCCTCCAAGCTGGGAGCAGGACAGGGAGACCAGGGCCTGCTTCTCAGCGGGGGGCGGGGGGATCCACACGTGTCTGTCATCTGGTGCTAAAAACCAGATATGACAGGACCTTGTTCCCACAAGGCCACAGTCAGGGGCTCAGAACAAATGAATGAAGGGCTTCAAAATTCAGTACCAATCCTGACTGATTCCCACGGAAACGGAGCGTGACAGGGCCCCGGTAAAGGTGCAAAGCGCACGGGACGTATTTGGCAGACGAGAGTTGTCGTTACAGGTCTACCACTAATCGGGTGCTGCCTGGTCATGTGCCACTTTTCCGCCCGCACTTTCCTGAAAATGAGAAGGTTGGACTGGATGATCTCAAAGACGCCCCAGCTCTAGGACTCCTAAATTACAGCCCTGGAAGGAAGCTGATCTGTCAGTTCAAATAATCTGGGTGTGTTGTTGTTGTTGGGGTTTTTTTCCACTTAAAAAAACCCCATGTCTACTCTAAACCCACTAGGGGACAGCTCGAGCACATTTGTTCTTGCACACTCCTGGGCGGCCACTGTCCTTTCATACAAGTCTGTGTTGTGTTTTGTAATTGACATTTTAACTGAGATAATCATAGAGTCACATTCCGTTGTAAGAAATAATACTCCTTGCGCTGCTGCCCTCAATGGTAACTTCTTAAAAATCTTAAAATGCCCTCACTCCTGGGATATCGACGTTGACACAATCCACCTATCATTTCATTTCCCTTGTTTTACCTATATGTATTTGTGTGTTTGTAAGTTCTACATAGGTTTTATCACTTGTTCTAAAACTACACAAATCCCTTGTGTTGCCCTTTTATAACCATACCTTGCCTTCCTTCCACTCCACCTGGTTCTCCACTTGACGGTTTTTCAAAACTCTTCTTATTTGGAAGTAATTCCAAACTTACAAAAACGTTCCAGTTCACCTTGTACTCAGATTCACTGCCTGTTCATGTTTGGCCCATTTACTTTCTCATTTTTTTCTATCGACATATTTTTTTTCTTTTTCTGAATTACTTGAAGGTAGGTTGCCTAAGCATGCCCCTTTATTCCTTCCCATTTTTTCAGTGTCTATTTCCAAGAACCGGGATATTCTGCGTGACCATAGTACAAATTATCAACATCAGCACATTTAACATTGATTCAGTACTTTAAGCTGATGGGTTTCCAACGTGTCCATCTGGAATGTTCTTTTATAGCATTACCACCCCTCCAGTACAGGAACCAGTCCAGGACCAGGTATCACCTTTAGTTGCCATCCTTTAATCTGGAACATTTCCGAAGCCTTCTTTTCTCTTGTATGACCTTGTCATGGCATGTTCGAAAAATACAGCCCCTGCCCCTTTTTAATAGATGTTCCTCATTTTGAGTATGTCTGAGGTTTCGTCATCACTAGATTCAGGTTATGCAGTCCAGCTGGGAATACCACACAGGTGATGTGTTCTGAGGATGTCCTTCTGCTCTTATTGGTGATGTTAATTTTGACCGGCTGGTCAAGGTGTGGTCTGCCTTTTGTAAAATAAATATTTCCCTCTTGATATTAATAAGCCTAAACCATCTCTGGGGAAACACATTAGCTCAGGCAAATATCTTCTTCCCAATACACCCCACCCCTGGTGTTAACATCCAAGGCGGATTCTCACCTGAACCGGTCTTCACGATACACTGGGTCTCTTCAAGTCCTCTTCAGTACTGGAAACCCGGTTTTCTGCTGTTCAGTTGCCTTGCGTTTTTGGTTCTGGTCTCTGAGTCTTCGCCATGTCCTTCCAATGTCCTTCTGTGGCCTTTGGGCAGAGACCAGGCCAAAGCGGTAAACTCAGTAAGCTCAACTGGAAATGAGCTAATGTGGGTTGTTCCCACTTAAACCGTCGGCCCGTGATTTGCATAATAGTGCGAGTGGCCTGTGAGCACGTACTTCCTGCATCGTTTCCTCATTCCCCTCACCCTGTCCCCTCCCTCACACGTTGGTGGCATTTTGTTCAGACAGCCCGTCCACAGCCCCCTCCACCTCCCGGCTGTGTCTGCCCCCTATTTAAGACTGAAGGGTGCTTTCCTAGGGGATGGACGGGCTTGCCGGAACCGAACGCCTGGTTCGCGTTCGCGGCAAACACTCCACGCGCGAGTCCCATCCTCCCCTGGGACCCAAGACCGGCACAGAGAGAAGTGCTGGAAATAAATAGTCGCTCGGGGGAGGGGAGTGGTAGCCTTCCCCAATTTGGGTATTTCGTCGGATACCTCGTGCCCAGCAGCGCAGATAGACGCGCAGGGGCCGACCACGGCTGCTGCGGCAGGAGCGGTACCAATGGCGCGGCTCCGGGAGTCTGGGATGCGCCCCGCCCGGCGTGCATCCTGGAGGGCAGCCCGCAGGTGGCGGCGTGGGGAGGCCGGCGGGGCGGGGGAAGGGGAGGGCTTGGCGCGCGTCGGGCGGTGACGGCAGCGCGGAGGGGAGGTGCGAGCTGCCCGGCCTCCGGGAGCCATGGCGAGAGGCCGCGCCGCCGCGCCCGCATCAGTGTCCGTTCCCGCAGCAGCGTCCCCGCCCGCCGCCCCGGGGCCCGCCCGGCCGCCGCCCGCGCGCGCCCTGAGCCAGTGAATTCCGCGCGCCGCAAGCCAGGCGCCCCCCTGCGAGGGGCCGCCCGCGGTAGGGAGCGCGGTGGAGCCTGAGCTCCCGGACCGCCCCGACGACCCCCGCTCCCCGGAACCCCGGACCCCGAGCCCGCGAGCGCCAAGTCGGTGGGCGGGCAGCAGGAGGAGGAGGCGCCGAAACCGAAGCCCGCCGCGTGCGCCCGGGTGCCCCCCGGCCGGCTGCTGCAGCAGAGGGAACCGGAGCCGCCGGGCGGCCGGGGTCGGGCCGAGGACAACGAAGAGCCGGGCGCCTGGCAGTTCGGCGCCTGAGGCCCCCGGGACCGCGCCTGCTCCGGAGCCGCGCCCGGCGCATCTATCGTGGGTAAGCGGGGGGTCCGCTTACCGGTGCCCCAGGCACATCGGGCCCGGAGGCTGGTTGGGGAAGGACGCGAGTCTTCTGGGAGTGTGGGCGCGTGATGTGGTGGCGGCGGGAGAAGCTGGGCGCGGGGACCCTGCGGGGGCAGTTCCCCTCCGGCACCGGCGGCACCTGCGGGAGGCCCTCGGGGGCCCGGAAAGGTGCCTATAGGGAGGGCATCGTATTGGTCACGCCGTATGGCCTGGATTCCGGACTCTGGCACTCCGAGGTGACAATGAGGCGACCTTCAAAGAACCCCGAGCTGAGCCAGCCCAGAGAACGAGCGGCACCCCGATTCCCATTCGCCCGCAAAACTAATGTCAGTGACTTTGGAAGGCGTCTGGGACCGGACAGATGGCTTTTAGCGCCCTCCCCCTTTTCCATTCTGAGAGTTAACAAGTCCACTTTGTCACTTTTTAGACTTGAGTTTTAGAATTCTTTTCGAATCTCCAAGGTCATCTTCTCGGCGGTTTGAAGAAAACGCAGTGAAACGTATTGTTTCGTGTTCTGTAAGATTGGGTTAGGGAAGCACAAGTCAGAAGCCCAGCTGCGCACTCTTAGGGCCGGTGCGGGGTGCCCCCTGCCCGCTCGGACTCCGTGTTCTGGACCCCTTGCCTGCGCTTGTGCAGGAACTGAAACCAAACCGCTTTCAGCGCCCCCTCAGTCTGGGTGTTCAGGCCTCTGATTTTTTTTTTCCCCCCCTTTGGTAAAGTTTTGTACTGATCTGCTGTACCAGAACTTAATTGCTTCAAACAAATGTGTGTCCAGTTGTCAATGTTGTCTGCGAGTTTGTAGGCAGGACGGGGACTTTTTTCCTTAAGCCCTTATGGTGGCAGACACCACAGGGGAAGAAGCTAGGAACAGGGTCCTTCCCAGTTTCCAACTACAAGAGCAGCAGAGACGGAGGTGGGTGGATGGAGTGATGCCCACCCAGCCCAGTCTGCACTGGATGACAGAGACAGAGACTTCAGAGTTGGGAAAGGTCGCACTGGTGCGTCCTTTGATCTCTGACCTCACCCTTATGACAGAGGTGCCCAGACAAGTGTAGACTGAGTTATCTGGAGAGCTGAGCCCGCCGTGGGGATGCTGAGCCGGCCTAGAAAGCCATGGCCAGGGGCAGCTCTTGTTTTGGCAAGAGCTGGGCCTCAGCTTGACCCTGGCCCTAGCCATTTCCTGTTCCATGCCCCAGGGACCTGTGTGAGATTTGGTTTGTCGTCCCCAGCTCTCCCTGAAGAGACACTGCACTGTGGCTGCTCCCTGGCTGTGTTGCTTACGCTCCTTCTGAAAGGACACTGACCTTGGAGTGGGAAACCTGGATTCAAGTACCAGACCCTCTTTGTCTCCGCTGGGTGTGTGACCTGGGCCCTTATTGAACCTCTCTGACCTGGCTTTCCCTTCTCCGGGATTGCCCTGTCCCCCCAAAGAAAAGAAACAAACCTCATCGGACTGTTTGTAAGGCTTAGAGAGTCTTAAAAATGAAAATGTCTGTGTGTAAAAGTTTGACTAAATAACCTGTGAGGGTTTTCAGGTCTTGTGCCAGCATGACTGTGCTTGTGAGTTGGCTTTAAGCCCCAACGGGGATAATAAAGAGGTATTATAGTAGTGATCGTTATCTTTCTTATAGGTTTATTGTGAAGGTTGAATCAGGCCATGTAAAATAAAAGAGCATTATTTGAAATGAAAGCAGTTCCTAAACTTTTGTTGTTGTTGTTGTTGTTTCCTAAATAACAGCATCTTAGCGTTTGCCATCTGATGGGGACTTACTTCCTGTCGTTGCATTCTTAGCCCCTGCCTCTGACCTTGTGCGTAGTAGGCCTCTAATTGTTAGATGACTCTGGGGTCCCATCTTGACCATGGCCCCCACGGTGGAGGGCAAGCTTGGGGCTTCCCTCTCTGCCATCAGCTGTCGGTGTTTTCATAGACACGGTTGTTCTGTTCCTCCGTACAGCTCATGAACGGCCGCGGAGGGCAGGGAGGCAGGTGGCCACTTTTCCTACAAGGGACAGTTTCTTTTTTCCCCTTTAGAACTCAGTTGAGAAAGGCATTGGAGAAAGTGTTCAATGAAATGCAGAGAGGGTTCCAGATATTAAGTCAAGCTTTCATCTGGGGCGTAGTTTAACATTGTATGGTGGGGAGTTGAATAAACTTGGGGATAATAGCGGTACAACAACCAGCCTCCTCAAATACATGATTACTTGACTCTTGGTTTTGAAACTGGATTCTGACCGATGTAACTCATCCGTACTTGGTACGCACCGTGACGTTTGTGGGGGAGGACAAAGGGGATGCTCCTTTTAGCAGAATAAGGTGTTAGGGGAAGATCTGCTTCTCCCAACCCCACGTTCTTAGCTTTAATTTTATAGCCTGGGGTGAGTGAGTGTCTGTTGTATAGAGACACACTGTTGAATGGGTCTTCTGGTTCCTCACCTCTTTTTTCTTCTTCCTGATCAAATATGCCCTGTTCTGACTTGTCTTATTAGGTATATCCAAACAGAGGCCACCTGCAGGGTTGAAAAGCTCAGCTTTGGCCAAGGGACAGTGAATAGGAGCATACGTGTGGCTCGGGATGCCTCTAAGCTACATAGACTCCCCAGTGATGTGCAGCTGCTTAAAGAAAGGCATTGATGCGTGTCTTACGAAGGGCTGTGTGGCATTATTATTCATTGAGACGCCCACTTAATTATGCATTTGTTAATTCAGCACCTGAGGTGGCAGAGGGCGGAATGGGGTAGAAGGCGAGCTCTTGTTTGGGTTCCTGGCCCAGTGTTTCAGGAACCCAACACTGGTGAGTGGTGAGCTTTTCTGAGAAGCTGTAAATTGCTTTGGTGGAGACTGGTAAAGGGTGACTTCTCAGGTGGCCACGCACAGCATTAGGAGTCTTTTGGCCTCCGTGTCTCATCTGTGAAATGGATTATATTGATGCTTCTTAAATGTGTCCCGGAGGAACCCTGGGTGGGGGTGGGGGGGCGGCGGTGGACCAGGGAGCTCAGCCTGAGGCTTCCAGCACTTTTCAGCGTTAGTTTGATGATTCCTTTGATGAAGACTAGAACACAGGATCATCTTGTTTGTTTTAAAATAAAAATAATTTGAACGCTGTCTTGTGTCAAAAAAAAACCAACAACAGTCAAGGAAGATGCCCTTCATTTTCCCTGGAACCCGGGGGCCCCCCCAGCATGAGGATATGTATCCCCAGTTTGAGAATCTTGAGCTGGATTATTTCTATGGTCGCTTCTAGTTCTAGACTTGATGAAATGCCAGGACATTTAAAAGCAGAAGGTAATCTCCTTCCTAGAGGAAATGGATTTTGTACTAACATCGGAAAAGGATGCTCCAGTACTGAAGGAAACAAGGAATAAATGTTAATAAATGAAAGAACTACCAGAATATAAATTATCTGGATTTGAATGTTAAGGAAGACCATACTCTGGGTGTTCAGGGGACTTAGAAATCTCTGCCCGCCCCCCGCCCTGACCCCAAGACTTAGTTGAAAAGAACCCTGAGCATGCGGATGAAGTGCTTTGACTTCCTGAAAAGCATCCTTTAGCATACCATTCGGGGCACCCCCGCTCTTGTCTGCACTCCCCCTTAGTGACCAGCCGTGGTTACTAGATGGCATGACTATGTTGATTTAGAAATGCCACTGTCAAAAAAAAAAAAAAAGAAATGCCACTGTCACCTGACTTGTGTTCGCATGGTTTAGCTATGAGCAAGTCCTACATTTGATTCCATAGATGCAAGTTGATTTATGTCACTTAAAATGGATGTTAATTAGAATAGGGACATGGGATTTGATATTTTTCCTTCTCTCTCCCAGGTTGGAGAAGAAAAAAAAAATCCACGCCTATGGAGAACTGTAGGATTTTAGGAGTTCTCCATCAGTTTCTCTGGTTGCTTCACTAAAATCAAGAAGACCTTCCAGGCTGTTCTGTAACATCATCAGCATATGCTGTTATTTCATATGATAGATGTTATATCAGCATATGTGGGCCTGGATTTTCTTTGATGGCGGCATTCTGGGAGCTCTCAGTTTTTAAGTGTTGGAAAGAGTAGAGGAGGCGTGATCCAGCGCAGGCTTGCCTACTTTCATTGTCGGCCTTATCGAATCATTGCCAGTTTGGGGATGTGGTCAGTAACATAAAACGTCCCCCTAGAATGTTGGAAATGGTTTGGCTTCACTTGTATTACTGACTCATGAACTCGAACCTGGAGGAGCAGGTGAGCAAGGCGTGCAGAAGCCATCCTTGACTTTCTGTTTGAGGACCACGGGCAGCTTCTCCTGGGGAGTGGGGAGGGAACGTTCCTTTGACCTCCAGGGGCATCTGTTGTCCTCCGTGTGATGAGAAAGACAGGGAGTGAGTGACTGCAGATGGCTGGGCTGT